TCGTCGTCCGACGACGGCGAGTCGCACCCGAGCACGGGCGTGGGTGGAACGACGCTGCCGTACCAACCATCGTTGCCTGTGGCATCGGCGTCGTCTTGCGGAGGATCGATCTTGAATGTCTCGCCCACGGTGGCCGAGGAGAGCGTGGAGGGCGCATAGTCTTCCTCTGCTTTCTCCTCGAGCTCCTGCATGACGCTGATCTCCTGGCCGAGGCTGAGCTGCAGGCCATTAGGGCGGTGACCGGGGCGCTTGCGGTCGAGGCCCGTCTGCACGCCGAGGAGGTTGCTCGACGAGAAGCCCGAGCCGATGGTGTGCGAGGTGGTGGAGGAGGTGGATGCAGTGGTGTCGGAGCTGGTGGCGGTGGATGCGGGCTTGGGCGCCCACATGCTGGCGCTGGTGCCGAGGCCCGAACGGGTGCTGCGCAGACGATCGAGCATGGCGTCGATTTGGCCGTTGCCCTGTGCAGCAGACTTGGCGAAAGAAGAGCCGAGAGCGAGAGGCTCGCCGTGGAGGTCGGTGCGGCCCTGCTTCAAGGGAGAGCCGATGGAGGCGTTGGAGGCTGCCCTGCCGCGGAGGTGGACGGCGTCATTGAGCGGGCTACGCATGGCGTCGGGACTTGGTGCGAGAGGGACGGAGCCCTTGAGAGGCGTGAGGCCGAGACCGAGGCCGCTGGCGCGCGAGTTATCACCATCGCTGGGTGTATGCGAGGAATGCTGGTAGGCCGGATAGTGCGGAGTGGCGGGTGTTTGCGGACCGCCGCGCTGGGAGAGCTTGAGGGGCGTTTCTGGGATGGGGTGGGAAGCGCTGAGTGGGGTGCGTGTATTGTGGGGCGAGGCGGGAGGGTTGTTGCGAGCCGGGCTGGTGAGCGGCAGCGGCGAGGGGATCTTTGCGCCGGGACGGCGGATGCCCTGGGAAGGAGTGGTGCGGAAGGGCGATGTGGCGGCGGGGGAAGGCGAGGCCGAGGATGTCGAGGCGTCTGCGCTGGCCTGGCCTGGGCGTGGTTTGGGTGGTGGCGTTTGGAGAGTCTGCGCCATATCGATGCGCTCTAGCAGCGAGCGAGGATTTGAGTCGGACGAGGTGGGATTCTTTTGGCGTGCTGGTGTGACGGGCGAGCGCTTGGTGTTGGATTTGGAGGCCGGAGGCGGCGATGCATGCGTGTCTGTGGCGGGCTGCGACTTGGGAGCGTAGATGCTCTGGCTGGAGCCGCCGATCCAGCCGTCCTCGTCGGTCTCTAGATCCATGATGGGAGTCTTTGACTTGGTCATGACGGCACTTGACAGTTGTGCGTGGGTGGATGAGGGGTGCGCGATGGCGAGCGAGTTGATCCGTGCGAGATCCGGTATGCGGAGGCTGATTCCGTGTGGCTAGACGAAGGGAGGAGCACCGAGACTGTTCGAGTTCTAGGTAAAGAGCGTTGTGAGAGATGCCATGCTGCGGGTGCGTGAGCACGGACGACGATGTCTATAGCATTGACTGGAGGCGTGCAAAGCCGGTCGAGGTTGAGCCGGTTGATCTAGCTTGTTTACAGGATTCCTTCCAAAAGAAAACGACAGCCGAACAAGATGAGCAGGTTGGTGGGGGTGCGGCGACAGCAGTAAATGAAGCAGAGGCAGAGGTGCGGGGAGATCAGAACATCGCAGCACACACACCTTTGTCCGGTGCGAGGATGAGGTGGGGAGCGAAGGAACGGCCAACAGCTGCGATTGGTTGTGGAGCCGAACGTCGCACCGCATTATATTTAATTGATAAAATCAAAATGAAGGCGGCCAAGGCCGAGCCCGAGCAGAGCAGAGCAGAGCAGAGCAGAGCA